TCCATTAATGGAAAAAAATATAAAAACTGTGATTTATTAATTTGAGAAGATTTACAAAACTGGTATTGCTTGCTTTCTAAAATTATAAAAAATTATAAAAAGAAATGATATTCGAAGGCTGAAAATAATTTATATAACATTTCACAATTATTAATGAAAAAATTTATCGTAAAAATGGTTTTAAAACGTAACTTAGAAAAAGATTTGAAAGACTTGAATAAAAGAATTAAGGATTTATAACAAAGCAAAAAGAAGGCCGACGATGAAATCAATTGCTTCTCTCCTTTTTATTGAATGAAATTGGTAGTAAGGATTTAGATAATTTAAGAGAATTATTAGCAGGACACTGAGCGATTATCAGAATTAGATGACTGAAAGCAAAAAAACGTAAACTTTGATTTAACAATAAAAAGAGAGGAATTATCAAACACAAGCGCTCAATCTAAAGATTTTGAAGAAAAGATTAAAGCGCAAAAAAAAGAAGTTGAAGCCAAGCAAGAAACTATTAATATACTAAAAGTAATTATTAAAGAACGGGACGAAGAAATCAGAACCAAGCAATAAATAAGTAATAATTTAAGAGAACATATTATAGAGCGAGAAGAAAAAAGCATATAAACTAATAATCTTTTAGATATGCTGACGGCGGTACGCTTAAAAACTATTTAAAAGGTAATTTTGATAATCTAGCTTGGGGAGAAAAATACAATTTGGCATTCCAGTTGGCTTGCGTTGTATCGTATTTACATAACGAAGGAATTGCGTATCGTGATTTGGTAATTTTTCATAAAATATATTATCTTTTGAATATTGCCGTTTTATAACTTTTTTTATATGCATATAATAGCATTCCGGCAATGTACTAATTCATCAAGGCGTCATTAAACTAGCCGATTTTGAATTATCGAAAAGTAGAATTGAAACAGCAACAACTAAGCTTTTGGAGTAATTGACCCAAAATATTTTGACGGAGAAGTGAAAATACATCATCACAATTTAAACTAAATGAAAAAAGCGACGTTTACAGCGTTGGTGTACTTTTATGGGAGATATCAAGCGGATATCCTCCTTTTTATGTTAAAGATGAAGAATACGACGTAAGATTGGCTATCGAAATTATAGGAGGACTTCGAGAAAAGATCATTCCCGGCACACCTGAAGATTACGTAAATGTATATTTCGGTAAATATATTAATTAAATTTATAAATAAAATATTTTTCTAAGTAACTGTTTTAACCATAAAATTTTATATCTTAGAATGCTGAGAACATGAACCAGATAAGCGTCCAGTTATAAATCAAGTAGTTGATAAATTAAATTTAATTATTATAAAAACAAATATCCAAGAAAGTGATCTTCATTATTCTTCTAATATTAATAATTCATCTCGATACTTTGATCAGATAAATGATCAAATAAATAGTTGTGTCATTTGGCTGGTCAGAATAATGTAGAAGAATTAGAATCAAATGTCGAAATATCTGATATTATTTATGATGATACTATTGAAAGCTTAACGATTACAGAATTTAATAAGAATGACATATTAAATTCCCTAGGAGGATTACAAAGATACCGAAAATTAACAAAACTCTATTTTTGTAATACTTCAACAACTATCTTACCAACATTACCCAACTCCCTAACAGAACTTTATTACTATAATACACAAATAACTATCCTACCAACTTTACCCAACTCCTTAACAATACTCTGGTGTTATAGCACTAACATAAATAGCTTACCAACTTTGCCCAGCTCCTTAACAATACTTGATTGCTCTAAATCTCCAATAAACTAGCTTACCAAATTTACCCAATTCCCTAATAAGGATCTATCCTGAATCTTTAAAAACTCAACACATCAATAACTATCCTGCCAAATCGAATGACTCCTGTACTATTGCCTAAATCTTTAACCTTTTGTGATCTTTCTTAATGTTCAAAATAAGATAAGCTTTCACAAGTTAAAACACTGATAACTAATATTGACGACAAAATTTTGGCCATAATTACATTCATTAAACTTTGCAGTATATATACAATTTTGAATGTTATAATATTTAACTTTATTCTTAAGAAAATAACTATTGTAAATAATGAAACTTATATGAAATTTTAAAGCATTAAAATATTAAAAGTTTTCATTTAACTTTTCCATTTTGTCTTTAAATTATTTTTTTTAGCTGCATTTTATTATATACTTAATATCAAAATTTAATATATTATTTCAAATGTAAATTTGTAAATATAATTGGAGTTTATTGTCTCATTTTATACATATTTTTTTAATATAATATTATTAACTTGAAGCTGGTCTAAAATCTTATGTTTAAATCAATAAAAAATTAATCGAAACTTTTTATTTTTTTTTTATTTAGCTTATTAGTACACTTTAATTTTTAGTTTAATTTTTTTCTACATTTGCTCTATGATACGATATTTTTTGCCAGTTTTATTTGTAATTATTTTTACTTTTGCTTTTGGTTGGTATTATTTTTCAGATTCGATCGCTTCAGATCTAAAAGTATCGAATATCTTTCAGCTTGATTGAACTTTTTCTTTTTCTAAAACCATTAGATGTTGAATTTCATAACTTTTGTTTATTTCATTTACTTCATTTGCTTTTGCGATTCATATATTAATTATAAAAGAATTTTAAATTATGGTTAATCAAGTGTAACTGAATTCCGACACTCCAGAAAAAAAAAGAAACAGTAAATTATTTTAAAAAAAATTAATAAAAAGAAACTTGTTTTTTTTTTAAAACAAATTTCTTTTTCTTTCTCATTTTATTCGTTGATAAATAACTTCTTTTATTAAAAAAAAATTCTTTTACTTTTGCGAGGAAAAGCATAAAGTTTTAAATTTTAATAAGGAAAATCCGCCATGCAAGAATATAGTGACGCGCAGAACAAGTTAGGATTTTTTTATTTATGTAGAGTTATTGAAACATTTAAAATAAAAAAATAAAATAATATAAAAATTTTGAGTTGATATTGGAATAACTGCTGACATCTTGCTCCCAAGGTCATCTTACGCTCTGGAGAAATTAGGCACATAGGTGTGGTATAGCAAACTACCCCCTAGACCCCACAAAGTTGATAACTACAACTGGTTCAACTTCAACATGAAAACACCCAATAGCCGGAACGATTCAACTATCCATGTATGCTGGCCATCGGCTTATTACATGGGGATTCATTCCCATGGAATGAAATCATTCACCTTAACAGAAATCCAATATATTGCACGTTGTGGGATGATAGCTGGCTAGAAAATCTCACACACTATCCCACAACGACAATACTCATTTTCAAAATCTTTAAATTGTAGTCATCACGTTATAAATAAATAATTTATGGTCCGATGATGATATTTACTTTTTTCTAGAAAGTTTCCCTATACTTACAATTAATGGTGGAGAAGTGATGATTTTATATTTAAATTATTTAAATATTTTTATATTAAATTTCAACAATGAATAAATAAAAACAACTGTTTTTCTAAAAAGATTCTTTAATAATATTAATTTTATGTTACTTCTCTCCACTTCTACTACTTTTATTTTTTTCAAAGTTCTAATTCAGTTTCCGATTTTAATTTTTATTTTATTACCTTCGTTGTGAGATTATCAATAACTTAAAACTATCTTTCAAATTAAAATAATTTTATTTTGATTGATAACGCGTTTCACTTAATAAGATTTTTTATTTCGCAGAAGTTAGGTCTTTGCAAAAGTGATTACGCCAAAAACTTAAGTTCAACTGCAACAATTGCCGAATGTTCTCTAGCAATAGTTTCTCTAGATATAAGAACGATATGAACACCCACAAATTATTCAGCTACTAAGTAAAAAAATGAAAAAAATGATGTTAATTTATGTTCTTTGAAGAAAAATTTAGGCTTCAAAGCTATAAAGAAGTCTGTTAGCATTTTTCAAGATAATGGAGGTAAGGAAGTATTTAATACGAAAGATTTAAGATAGAAAGTGTTCGATCATGAATATCATGCCTAAAACTAATTTTTCTGCAAATAAATACATAAGACACAAACTCGGAGGGGAGAGTAAAGTTTGGTGAAAATCTGATGAAGAATTTTATGAGAAATAACAACTCAACTATGAAACACATTCCCAAGCGAATGTTTGGTGGCTGCTATTCATGGGTTGGTTTCAGTCTATAATCCCATCAGTAATTGGTAAAATCGTTATGGAGTTCTTGAATATTATCTTATACCACAAGTATAAAAGGTTAAAAGAAGGCAAACGTATCAGCACATAAAACAAAAATTCTTCATTCAAGAAAAGTAGAACTTCTGTCATAGTCACATCATAATCCTATTAAATTCTAGTCCGAAAACAACCAAATGAAGCTTCAATTCAATGCTAAATCCTAACCTCATGACAATTTCTGACCTAACTTAGATATTGTTCAAAGGAAATTGGTATATCGAGTGGATTCAGATCAAGAGAAACGACGGCTTTTTATGTCTTCCCTTTTAGGGTATTATATATCAGACAAGAAAAAAATTTCAACTTCTTTTCCTTCTGGACTTCTGCTTGATTACGACTTTAGTCCATCATCAAATACAATTTTAATTAACTCGTTACTTTTAAAATTACTGCAGAAGTAGTACATTGTACCTTTGTTGAACGTTTACGGTTTCCCAGCGACAATTATTAAAAGAATTTATTGAAGCGATTGAAAATTTTAGTAATATATTAATGACATTGAGTTTAAAACAGGTCACTCTCTCAAATTTTGCAGAGAAAAAATCAAATTTCTTATACGTAAAAGTAAAATGCGTCGAATCTCTCTTTCTCAGAACTTTCGGACCTGTAGAATATAATAACGATAATAGAAAAGAAGTTAGAAAGCTAAAATTGAAAACCACTGGTGTCAATAATAAGCGTTAAAAATTTATGTTGATTCCTCGAGTGAAAAGAGACAAACTACTAAAAGATAACTTTCACGTGTAACGCAAACACTTCTAAGAGGATGGATGAGCAAAATAGGGAGCGTCTGATGCCACCAGAAATGGAAGTGTTTAGCCTGCACGGTTCCATCGATATGCCAATTAAATGATATTTGTATTGAATGTATTGAAAGAGTAAGGAATTCAGGAGTCATTTCTTAGAGTCACTGTATTATAGGAACGACTTCATCAAGACGATTTCTTATCAATACGTTATAGCACTGAGGTAATACTTGTCTATAGAAATGAACATCACGGGAATTCGAACCAGTAGGTCAAGCAATACTTCGCGAATATTTATTAGCTCGTAATCATAATGGATAACACTACTAATGCAAATCTTACATTGTCAAAAGTGTGAGAACGCGTTCGAAAAGTTTAGCAGAAATAGAAACGTCGTCGTTTTGAAATTTGAACACAATTTTAGGTGTGACGAATGTAAAGTTTGATGGAAAAAATATGCTTCTTTTATGAATAAAAGAAAATAAAATGATGTAATTTTTTTTAATAACTATTACATTTGGAAATATCTCATAGTTTCTTTCGAAATTTTCATTTCTTATTGTTGTTATAGACGCATGAATTTTTATTACATAATGTTCAAGTTAGTTCTTTCACATTATGATGCGATGATGACGAAACAAGAAAATTTTTATAATTTTAAATAATTTAAAGTTTCAATATTATCAATAAGATCCTGATAAAAAATCTTTTTTGTACAATAATATAAAAAAATTTCATTTTCTATACAATATGATCCGTAAAGCAAAACCGTCCATAAGCAGCATGTCACAGTGTGACATCAATTAAATACCGCAAAATTCTATGAAAAAGAAATATGTTATGAAAGGGCCTTCCTTGGTAGAGATTGTAATCATAACGAACTACTAATGATTTTTTTTTGACTAACTATAGTCTATTATTAATGATCGAAGAAACAATGTACATTATCACGTTTCCCGTCAATTTGCTAATCGAAGGACATAATAGAAAATTGATTCAAATTAATTTAAGTTTAACAAAAAAATTCTATACATAGCAAGTAATATACAAATAAATCTTGGAAATACGATTTCTTTTGAAGTGTGAAACGAGGAGAGTTAGTGTTAAATATATATTAATTATTTGAAGTTATACTTGGTGTTCATCTCAAAAAAAAATAAAGTTAGGACATTTTTTAAACGAACTTAATTAAAATTTTCAAGCTTTATAAAAAAATATGCTAGAAGAAGAGCCGTTATATAGACTCACAAAAGTTACTTTTCTCAAATTCAATAATAACGTAGCCCAAAATATTTGTGTCGAATATTGGTTAAAACCTGAAAAGGAAAAAAAAAAAGCAGATGCTTGTATTTGAAAAAAGTAATTTATATTTATTTCCGCTTAGATTTTATAAATTTCACTAACAATAATTTATCAGTTGATTTTAACAGGAAGAATTTCATGAAAGAAAATTGGCAGTGCATTAAATTTTAGCTTAAAAAAATTAAAATTAACGAAGAAAATTCAATAATTTTGCCATTTCAAAAATTTCGTATTTGTTTTTAAATTTTATCCATGTTTTAGACACATGACACAATAAATTCGAAATGTTTTAATTTAACACTTAGTGCTACCTGCTCGTTTAATATGGAGATTTTTTTAGTATCAATGATATTTTCGATTCGTTTTGCTTTTTATATACTGATGTACTATTGATCTTTCAAATCTATATATGAAATAATATCTAAAGGAATCGCAAATCTTTACAAATTATTCTAAAGTAATAAAATAAAAGATCAAATGAAAAACCATAGTATAAATCATTTAAGTTAGTAATTAAATAACTTTTCACTTTATCTGTATAGAGCGCAGTCGTATTTTGTTTATCTTATATATTATATTAATTCCAATCTTTTAACTCATGACGAAAGAAGCATTAGTGATGTCCATATTTGTGAGACCGATAACCGTAAAATTGGAGATGTTAACATAATTACAATGCCATAATTGATTGATAAATGTTAAAAGAATCATTAACGACGAACCTGATTGTAGTTCGATATCAATCGTTTATAATGATTGTTTATTATCATGAGATAATGGCTCAAATGTCAAGGCCGAAAAATATTGTCAATAATCTTTTCTTGTTTCTCGTTTTGTTGACTTAATTAACCCATTCTATTACGTGATTGGAATCTACCAAATCGAATCAATTTTTAGTGGCGCATAAGTGCGGTAGGCAGTCCTAAAAAAAAAAATCGAATCAATGAGAAAACACTTGCCTATTATTAAATCAACACACCAAACCTATTAATCAAATAAAAAAAAAAGAATAAGAAACTCAAAAAAAGAAAATTAAAAACAAAATATTGAATTAATTAATTACCTTCTAAAAAAAGCAAAAAAGCAAAAAAAAATATTTATATATAAAATATTAATAATAAAAACAAAAATTTAGAGCAAAAGAAATATCGGATCGAAACAATCGAACCTGAATCAAAGAATTTAAAAAAAAAAACTGAAAATTGGTTTGTATTTTGATAAAGAAAATTGTTACGCCACGCCATAAATCTTGGAAAAGATATATCTCGAGTTTTTAAAATAGTAATGACAAAACTCTTTTGAAAGCAGGATATTTTGGCAGGAACGTTCTTAAATAATGTAATATTCTAAATTTGAGTAATAGATGTCGATACTTTTCTAAAATATTCCAGAAAGTTCGATTGTAAAGTAGATGTTGCCGATATGACACTGGATATAAAACCAGAGCATAGTTGATCAAATCTACTCTTATATAGCAGAACTAGAACTTCAATATGGAATAATCATTGGTTCCTATATCGGCCGAAAGATAATTCACCTGAACTTCAGATTTCACCTACTAGAGAGAGTCAGACGGGCGCATGACACTCTCTTGACAAATTCAAAAGATTTATGCAATGATCTTTTCAATATTATAGCCGCAAGACAAAAAGAAAAAGATCTGTTTGAATTTAAAAAATGCATTTGTAATTTCTTTTTTTATTTCTTGTATTTTACTTATTATTTAATTCCTTTAATTCCTTATTATTTTAAATTATTGTATTTTGTATTATATATTATTTTATCTATATTTTCAACTGGTCCGATATATTTCATTTCTATTTGCTTTAAGCTGTGATCTTTTATGATCTTGATTTCGTTACTTATCGTTAGAAAGTTTAATAAAGTGATAGGATTGAATATTAAAATATTTACTCAAAATTCACATTATTTGGTTACAAAAAATTCTAAATTTGACTAATGCAAAAAAATTAATCTCAACACACAAACCATATCCTGAATTAGATAATTAATTTTAATAAGAAGAACACATAGTTATACTATAGTATAAGATTGCAAATGGATACAAATATTTTCGTCTAAAATTAAATGTTTGTCTCGCAAATTCAAAATTAATATTTCGTAAATAAAATAATTCTTTGTCGTGTTCATTACTCTTGATATTAATTAATCGATTCCTTAAATTTACAAGTCGTTTGAATTCTATTTTTAATTAAATAAATTTATATATTTACCTATAATAATTATATCTTATGAAAGCAAAATAATAAGTTATGGTAATAAAAATTTCTCTAATTACGTATTTTTTAATAGTGATGACCGCATTAGGCAAACTAAACATCATTCATTTATTTTGTTGCTTAATGGGCTAGCGTATTAAGTATCATTTTTATCTATTTATGGGATGCATGTGATTTATGCGAAATGAATGGAGCCGCATTACGTTATTAAGAATTTAATTATGAAATTTTTGGTGTCAAAAAATTAATTGGAAAATAAAGTACCATTATATAAATTTAGTGCATACTTTATACTTTTTCAAGATTGGTAGAGAATAAATGTACATAAAGATTAAATATTATTATTTATTTTAAGCAAAATTTAATAAAACTAGCAAAAAATAACCAATACCATTAATGAAAAAACCTAATTTAAATAATCAAACAAAAAAAAAAGAAAATTCGAATCAATTGAGAAAGCTCTTAATCAATATAACCCTAAAGATAAAAAGAATAAGAATAAAGAAAGTTGAAGCAAATGAGAAAACTTTATAATTTTTTTATATATTTACGCTTGACAATAGTTTATATCAAATCAACTATTTAAGAACAAATTTTTACATTAAAATAGGTATTCAAAATAGATTTTTAATTATCTGAAGCATAGCGTAGGACAATCAAATCTGTCTTTTAATAATTTTTTGTTTTTAAATTATTAAATAATCAAATTTATTTCATTTATGATAAGAATAACTAGATATAATTTTAAAAATATCAATATTAATAATTAATTAAAATTTAACTTTTTGCTAATTCATACTGTTTGTTTTGCTGTCTAACACAGCACCAATTTATCAAAATGGTTACTTTTTAGAATTAATTCCAAAGGTTATCATATCCTTTCACTCTAAAATACCTATCTCTTTATATTCTTTTCTAAAATATCCTTAAATTTTTTGAAGTGATATTTGGAAAAGAATATTTTAGTTGAACTTGCAATCAAAATACATTAGTAAAAAATATGAATAAATTTCTTAAAGAAGAAAAAAGCTGCACATGATTGTCCATTAGCCATATCAAATTTACCAATAAAATTTTTAGCGTAAACATTCGAACTAACAATATCGTGTATTCATGACCGTTAAAGTGTGGAGTAACTGTAATATTAATTTAAGTTTGAATTGTTTTCTTTTGCAAACAATCATATCAAATAAACTCTAGGTTTCTTTGCAACTAGCTTCTATTTTACTAACTAGATTGCATTATCTTTCTTTACTAATAGATATTTAGATCATATAATACTCTTGAAAATATCTCACATGCAAAATTCTGATAAGAGCAAAGACAATACTGAGTCAAAAGTAAGAAAAA